GCTGATGGTAAGATTGATATTGCTTGTGAGGTTGTTGATGGCAATAGGAGCATGCCAGATGTTGGACAGAATGAGACAGTGATGACAGCAGCAGAGCATGCGGGTAGTGTACATGCACTGTTGGACACGGTGGCCATTCCCAGTACCAGTGCCTCAGTCCAGACGACCACTGCTGACACAAGTGATTGTGTGGATTCAGTGCTGGTGCTCGAGGACGACGTTGTGGGCAGAGGCCAGCCCTCCACCACCACCGGCGACACAGCACATGATAGCTGGTCTTCGGCAGACGACACTCCACTTGCCAGTGACGTTGGTGACACGGCCCCTACAACTACAAGCACTGCAACCACTTTAGTTGCGGTTTGTAATGCTGCAGATGCCACAGAGCAGAGCAGTGATGGTAGCATTGCCAATCCCACAGAGCAGAGCAGTGATGGTAGTATTGCCAATCCCACAGAGCAGAGCAGTGATGGTAGCACTGCAGATCCCACACAGCAAAGCAGTGATGGTAGCACTGCAGGTGTCACACAGCAAAGCAGTGATCGTAGCATTGCAGATGCCACAGAGCAGAGCAGTGATGGTAGCACTGCAGATGCCACACAGCAAAGCAGTGATGGTAGCATTGCCAACCCCACAGAGCAGAGCAGTGATGGTAGCATTGCCAATCCCGCAGAGCAGAGCAGTGATAGTAGCACTGCAGATGCCACAGAGCAGAGCAGTGATGGTAGCACTGCAGATGCCACAGAGCAGAGCAGTGATGGTAGCATTGCCAATCCCACAGAGCAGAGCAGTGATGGTAGCATTGCCAATCCCGCAGAGCAGAGCAGTGATGGTAGCATTGCCAATCCCGCAGAGCAGAGCAGTGATAGTAGCACTGCAGATGCCACAGAGCAGAGCAGTGATGGTAGCACTGCAGATGCCACAGAGCAGAGCAGTGATGGTAGCATTGCAGATGCCACAGAGCAGAGCAGTGATGGTAGCATTGCCAATCCCACAGAGCAGAGCAGTGATGGTAACATTGCCAATCCCACAGAGCAGAGCAGTGATGGTAGCATTGCCAATCCCACACAGCAGAGCAGTGATGGTAGCATTGCCAATCCCACAGAGCAGAGCAGTGATGGTGCGTTGACAGCAGACTGTCGTGGTACATCGCCTGTTGCTGCTAGTGCCGGTATTTGTAGTGATTCCCAGACCCAGTTAGCACATGTGCCAAGTGTCAATACCAACCCCACCAACCCCACTAGCCAACTGTCCAATAGCAACAATAGCTCCGGTTCAGAGCAGAGCGGTGCTATCAGTGTTCAAGAACCCAATCAGACTCACCTCGAATCCGCTCTCTCACCTTCCTCTACCGACATGTCGGAGAGTGTCTGCCAGTCCTCACCTTGCCACCTGCAGATCCAGCTTGAAGAACAGCAAGAGGCTAGTCCAGTTTCTATTGGCGACGTTCAAACGGAGGATTACTTGTCAGCGGACGATGGCCTCCCAGGAAGTGGCCTGTATCCTTCAGTGAGTGCTGCTGACTCTAGTGGTGTTAGTAGTAGTTCATCTGCTACAAGTCTGACTGGCCAACCACTCGTGGGAATTACGTCAACCACAGCAACAACAACAATGACAACAAGAACAACATTGGAAGGCTACGAGTCGGCTCTCTAGAACGCCATGTCTTCTTTGGTGCGATCTTCCGTTCCATCAGACCTAGACCTAGCCGAGTAAGGTAAATACTCGCTGTGACTGCGTTCACATTACCCTGTTTTTTTTGTTGCGTGTTGTGAGCAGATTACAATCCCATTGCAGTCACTGTTCTTTTAACTCTCTTTTTTGTCCGTTGTCTGGCAACAGGGCCACGCAGAGTGCTGTTGTCCTTGCCATGCGCTGGCTGACGACTAGGCCACATAGGAAGTTACTGCTTTGTTTTTTTGGATTAATTTTATGGGAAGCACCCATCTTTTTTTGCGGCCCGGGAGTATTAGGTCATGCCACACGGGTCTTGTGCTACAGGTGCTTTGCAGCAGTAGTAACCCTAAGCCGCACGGACACGAGCATAGGTTAGCATGCACCGTGGCAATGTATACCAGCTTGTCTTTTTCTTTTTATCTTTTTCTTTGTCTCGGTCCGTCTTTCTTGCCACCTAGCTCGGTATGTTCTGACTGTTTTTACGCTGGCAGCAGCCGCCACCGCCGCCATCATGTTGATCTGCTACTAGTACGTGTTCTGGTCTTCCTTAGATTCTTTTAGAACCCTCCATGTCTGTGTGTTTTATCTTGTGTTCTTTCTGAAAAACCATTGCATATCTCTTTTTACGGTTGAAAGCTTGACAACACTGTTCTATAGCCACTCACCCATTCCTCTTCTATAGCCACTCACCCATTCCTCTTATAGCCACTCACCCATTCCTCTTGATGCCAAGAACCATCCTATTCCATGACGACCTTCGCTGCTCCCTTAGGTGAACGAAACTTTCTTTTTTCTCTTGGTTCAATACAATTTGGATTGCCTCTTTGCAATGAATGCTGCTGTGTGCTGGGCAGATATGCACAGTTGCGCTCACTGAAATCCTACCTATAAACGTGCAAAGCTGGCGCCCTGGCCCGGGTCAGTTCCGATTACACACATCACGTGTACGTCCAGCCCTATTCGTACCATTTCCAGAGCGACAAGGCCTTAAGGGCTGTGCAAGTTGAGGGCGACAAATATGCAGTTTTTAGTCGAATTTCACCGAGCACAACTGTACAACTGTAGTGCAGTAGTTTGAATAAATACATAAAGCTATGAACACAGACAGAAGAACGAGCAGATGCGGTTTCGTAACTCTGCCGAAAACGGTGGATGAAGCGCACATGGTAAAGCTATGAACAGTATGAGATTCCTACTCACTCTATGCACACAAGTCACATCTAGGCGAGGTTGGTTTATTGTTTCCAAGAACGTCTTCTTGTGATATTAGAGAGGTTTCGTTTCACGTTGTTCTGCACTACACCGTGAAATTTCACGTAGGTGTGGCAAATTTTGGCGTCGAAACTCCTTATCCCGTTCATGACGTGAGCTGAGGTCAACTCACGTTCGACGTGAACGCGAGTTTCACGGTACGCGTGTAGTGCAGAACAACGTGAAACGAAACCTCCCTATTCTTCAGTTGGATACCACAATCAGAAATGAAATCGAAGACGCCACTGCAGCTGTACTTATGGTTGATAAATATGGTGGTAAAGACACACCTGGCAATATGGCGGTAAACACACGCCTGCCCACACACGCTCTCTAGGCTGCAAAGTTCTGGCACAGAGCTCTCCTTCTCACCACCACCACCATCAGTTCGCGCCTGGCGCCTGGTCGATGCATGGCTGGCGGTATCCGGCATAGCAGGCTGGTACATCAAGTAGCGCATGGCACATAGATGATGACACAGCAACGACATAGCTCGATTGCGACGTACGTTTCGTCCCCGCTGGACTCATCAGGCAATCTTCTTCTTGGATGTCTTCATACGGAGCTTGACTCGGGAGAATGAAATTGATACCGCCATATTGCCAGGTGTGTCGTTACCACCATATTTATCAACCATAAGTACAGCTGCAGTGGTGTCTTCAATTTCATTCTCCCGAGTCAAGCTCCGTATGAAGACATCCAAGAAGAAGATTGCCTGATGAGTCCAGCGGGGACGAAACGTACGTCGCAATCGAGCTATGTCGTTGCTGTGTCATCATCTATGTGCCATGCGCTACTTGATGTACCAGCCTGCTATGCCGGATACCGCCAGCCATGCATCGACCAGGCGCCAGGCGCGAACTGATGGTGGTGGTGGTGGTGAGAAGGAGAGCTCTGTGCCAGAACTTTGCAGCCTAGAGAGCGTGTGTGGGCAGGCGTGTGTTTACCGCCATATTGCCAGGTGTGTCTTTACCACCATATTTATCAACCATAAGTACAGCTGCAGTGGTGTCTTCAATTTCATTCTCCCGAGTCAAGCTCCGTATGAAGACATCCAAGAAGAAGATTGCCTGATGAGTCCAGCGGGGACGAAACGTACGTCGCAATCGAGCTATGTCGTTGCTGTGTCATCATCTATGTGCCATGCGCTACTTGATGTACCAGCCTGCTATGCCGGATACCGCCAGCCATGCATCGACCAGGCGCCAGGCGCGAACTGATGGTGGTGGTGGTGAGAAGGAGAGCTCTGTGCCAGAACTTTGCAGCCTAGAGAGCGTGTGTGGGCAGGCGTGTGTTTACCGCCATATTGCCAGGTGTGTCTTTACCACCATATTTATCAACAATCAGAAATGTAGAAAGAAAAAGGACATATGGATACGAGTTAAGAGTAACTCTCCATCACTGTAACTGGATACTATAATACAGTCAGAAAGTGCAATAGCTAGGCACACAACTGACAGAGTACTGAGACATTCGACGTCCTGACACCTAGCTTTCTTTACTTATCTTTGATATTTATGACCCACCCAAGTTGGGTGGTGTGCTGCTTTGCTGCTTCAAATTGTAGTTAGACCGCTTTGTCAAATATCGTACTGGTCTCGTCATCGTCCAGTAACAATCGGCATTCTTTGTTCCGTTGGGACTGTAGCTTTTGCTCGTTTTCGTTGCGCTTGCCTTCCCCTCTTTGGCCTTTCCATAACCTTGAACCTTCCAAGTTGGAAGGCTGTCGGCTAGCGCTACGGAGATGTGTTGAAGCTAGGTGTCAGTAGGCCTGGGCGGATAATGCTAGCATTATAAGTAGCATTATAGTGTGCGATTTGCAACGAGCATTATGCTAGCATTATAACACTACATTTCCACCAAAAGTGGCATTATACTCAAATGGCCCAACTTACTTGTGCGAAAACCAGGCTAAGGGTGAAAATCATTTTTTTGAGAAAAATGATGTTTTGTTAAAAGGTTGTGTCGCGTGGACGCTCGAGTTTAATAGTGCAGTGAAATGGAACCAAAGAGAATCTCACTTGTTTGAAGAAGTAGCAGTCATGGCAGGAAGGGTTTCAGCAGTCAGGGAAGTCAAAGGGCTTCCGGTAAAATATTCCCTGCTACTCCTCTAGGCTCTAGTCTAGTCACAACGAAGAGTTTTTGAGCTGATCGAACGGATTCCATCTTCTACACTCAGGGATGGCGAAATTTCTGCGCTAGCTGCTGCTTGCGGAAAATGGTGAAGAAATCGTCTCCAGTTACAGTCGTGATGGCGATAACGAGGAGAACCTGGACGACATCGATCCAGCCAATCGAAGTACGGAGGTACTAGCTGTTTCTGGGCCTCACACAAAGGGAACACGCGCAGCAGAGCTCATACGTTTGCAGCAAGTAATAGTTCACGAGGAAAAGGCTTGAAGCGCAGTGTGAAAACTGTTTTGAATTGAAGTCCTTGGCGATGAAATGCTACTGAATCATGATGCTAGACGAATAAGCGAGCAGATCGAGAGGCCTCCACTCGAGACTTTCCTCGCTGGACAGCCAGCTGGAAGGGATTGTATGGAGCAATAGCAGCATAAAATTATTAGCATTATGATCATGATTTTCTAGCATTTTCCATGCCGTCTACATAGAACTACGAAACGTGCACAATACTGCCCAAACCAAGCCATTTTTCCATACTTACTACTGGTGAATTGCTGGCATTGCAGAGGAACAGCAGCATTATAAGTAGCATTATGATACAGTTTTTCTGGCATTGTCATTAGTAGTCCCGCAAAATAACTAGCATTATCCGCCCAGGCCTAGGTGTCAGGACGTCGAATGTCTCAGTACTCTGTCAGTTGTGTGCCTAGCTATTGCACTTTCTGACTGTATATAGTATCCAGTTACAGTGATGGAGAGTTACTCTTAACTCGTATCCATATGTCCTTTTTCTTTCTACATTTATTTATGGCTCAACATCCGAGTCACAATCAGAAATGATCAGGGAAGAAGAAATTACCCACTTTATTTAGTATACAGAAGAGAAAGGACCAAGGAACTACAAGTTACGCTATACTGTCCACTAACATGATGCTCCTCTCAGTAACAGCCCTGGTAATTTGTTAATAGTCTCACAGTTTCTCCCGCACACTCGCTGATGTTAACCCTTCCTTTCTTTTCATTTTGCTGACTCGTACAGCTCTATCTTTTGTTTTTGGTGCGTGTTTTTGGCCGTGATGCCGAGACCTCAGGTCGGCAGAGCCATCAATGCCCCACCATCACTGCTGCGTCTCGGTGCAGCCCCTGCTCAATAGTTGTCACGTTCGTCCTAGTCTCAGTATCATTGTCTTTCTTTATTATTTTCGAGCTGGGAGTGTGAACATAGTAAAAAAAAAAAAAAAAAAAAAAACACCACCAGTTCCTTGGTCCTTTCTCTTTGGTATAAATTAAACCTTGGCTCTCCATCCGAGTTTATGCAGTATCATTTCCTTACTGGCCTTTCAGCACCTCCATGAGCGACACTGACTCACGCTGCTATCTGGTGTTCACGAGGTGTTTGTTGCGCTGGAAACGGAGCGTCTCTGTAAGTTTGTATCCCTGGTGATGTTTTTGCCTGGAGAGCACAAGCGGTGCTCTTCAGGCACAATCTTCCTCAGCCTACTCAAGCTCAACTGATGAGGGGTGAATTCTCCGAAACACTGTGTATTGAGCAGGGAGTGGTGCTTTCTTACAGGTTTGCCGAGTGGACGGTTCGATGGACTTCTCGTGTGATCTGGATGGCAGTCTTGAGTCCGTCGAGTGAGAATTCAAGTCGGCAGGAAAAGCGCGAGCTCCCATGTAGGGAGCAACACACAATTCCCCAGGCATCGCTGAAGTCGCAGCAACCTCTTCTTCACATTGTTGGCCTTTTATACTGTCTTTATTCTTCTTTTAGTCGATATCATTAGGCAAATTTGCCTGTTTGTTCGCCGACTCTATCATTGAAACAAACAAACACTCAACAACAGCAGCAGCAACAACAACAACAACAACAGGTCTCTTATTGGCGATGGTGCCATCGTGAGAATAAAGAATTCAAAACAACAACAACAACGACAACAACAACAACAACAACAACAACAACAACAACAACAACAACAACAACAACAACAACAACAGCAGAATCCAGTCGACTCCTGATATAATGAACACCATTGTGCAGGATAATAATTATTAGTTCTTTATAGCCGAATTTCGTTATAACTTATACCAAGAGTAGATAAACTACTCTTGCTTATACTTCAGTACTAACTGAAATGCACTCACACTGTACTGACACTGTGCACATGTATGGTACAAGCAGCAACTGCCAGCAAGTCATGACTGGCAAGTGGCCCATGACAGTATGAGTGCACTTTGTTGTGGTGTTGTTTGTATGCGGCCCTATAACGAGATTTAGTTCGTTATAAACGAAACCTGTTCGCTATAAAGGGTCACTTTTGCATGGTTTCAAACAGGGACGTACGTGGACAGTGGTTCGCTATATCACGCAATTCGCTATATGCGAGTTATAAGTGGAGTCGACTGTACATGTACATGTATATGGGCAGAGAAAGTGAACAATTG